GTTAAACAATTTAAAATTAATTATTCATTGTTGTTATTTGATGATAATATGCTTTTACCATTGTTGATTTATCTTGTATAGTAGCGGTAAATAACATTTTCCCATTTTTTATTTTTAATATTNATAGCATTTAAAAAGTAAGATAACCCACTGTCCAAAACCATTCAAAGCTTAATTCCGCCTCTTATTTCTTCTGTTCTCAAATTTAAATTAACTTTAAGTTTTTTATAGGTAGTCTCTTTTAAAACGGTAAAGATTCCTCACCAGCTGGAAACACTTTATCTTTCCGTATCCTTCCATTTTGGAGTATCCCCGACTTCATCAGCCTAATGGCTGGATTTTTTTGTCACCGGCTTGAAGAACTTCTCTTGGATCTATCAGGGACTTTGCGATGTCCCTGAGATCAGCAAGACGAATTCTTTCTATTCACCGTCTCTGCAGGATGATTTAGGTCCGATTGGACCACCTAGTGGCAAAAGTATCAGCTGAGGTCTCGGAGCATCCAGACCACACGTCCGTATTGTCGCAACGTTGGCGCCTCCTTCAAAAAAACTTTTAAAGTACGTGGGTAGAAGATTTAAACTCCCATGTAAGGACTCGTGTCACATTATACTAAAGTAAACTTCAATCATTTTCTCATTTATAATTAATTTTCCTATTTAAAATAGGATTGGAGAAAGTTCCTAAGCTAGGATACTAATCAATCTTGCTTTCATAGGTATAATCTATGCACTGGTTATTCTGAGATGCAATTTATTATAATTAAAAAGAGAAGAAAATATACAATGATGTATGCAAAGCAGATTGATTTTGAAATGTTTGAAATGGAAATGTCTGATTGTAGTCTGTTGTAGTTACTTGGCTTCCTGCATTAAAACATTTCTTTGGTAATTTTGCATATTAAATAACAAGCATTGCTTCTAAATGCTACCTTAGGGTGATAGATCCTTTAAACAAATTTGGAATAAGTTCTGCTATTTTGCAATTAACCATTTCTGTCTATTGCTTACTAAGCAGGAAATGTTCTACTTTCCAAATAATGTTTGGCCTACTGTACCTATATATAGGCATGTGAACAAATAGAGGCAGGAATGACCAAAATGCCCCCTATTTTTAATGGATCTATAAATCTATACTTAGTTTTATATGTTTCAACTCTTCTACAATGTATTATTTAAAATTACTAAATCATTCTGTGCAGGACAATAACATAAGAACCTATTGTCAGTGTACTAACTGGAGCAAATTTAGTTGGCACTATTGTATCCACATATACTGGAATATTTGCAGCATTTTAAACACCAAAATATATTTATCACCAAAATTACCTTTTTAGTTAATTAATAAAAATAAGGTTTTTAAAAATGGTGCAAGTAATACAATATTAAATCTCAATAAAATCTTAGAAGATGGACAATGAATATGTTGGATGAATTGGGGGAATTGGGGGAAAGAAGCAATTACTGAGATTTACTTGAAACAGCAAAAGACTGGTCAATAGCCAAGCATCTATCAATGTAGTTACCAGAAGTTATGTCATCTAACTTACAAATATTTTTATTTGCTCTCATTTAAATCCATCACTTTTTGTTTCATATTTATTGTTTAATTATATTATGCTATCTGTAAGCTAATTGAATGTGTCTACAAAAGAAAGCAAGATGGAATATTTAAAATAAATGAGCAAATTACTTTAAAAAAAGAAAATCTACTAATCTAATTTGATTCCTGTATGCCAGGCACATAGCTACCCTTTCCAGTTATTGTCATTATTACATTTATAATCATACTTATGATTCAGGATTTCTCAACTCCAGTGTTCTGGAAAAACTCAAGGAATGCAATACTGAACAGCAGTGTCTTGTTCTTTCCCAAAGTGGATGAATACTAATTGATGTTAATTTACTCTCTGCAAGTTATGAATTAATTTTATGTTTTAATAATATGACCATGGAAATTTATTTTATTTCTGGCACATAGGGAAAAAAGAGAACAAGGATGGTTGTCTCAATAATAAAGTACAGATTTTGAATGTAAAAAAAATTAGTGTCTAGTGTATCCAGAAACAGATAAAATCTTGCATCCGAATTCTCAGTCATTTATTATATGTAATAGCAAAAATGGCTTGGTGTCCATTTATTTTTACACAAGAGGGCAGCAGAAACCATCTCAGAACTTCAGGTTTTGCTCTACAAATACCATAAGAACAACTCTAATAAAACGAATAGTTTTCTTCTGAATTTTCATTAGGAAATGGAATATCCCAAGCAAGAAGCAAAGCTTTATAATATTTACTAATCAGTACACTACAGAAACATATATCTTAATTCTTAACAAAGTATGAATTCTATTTTTATGAAATTCTAATAGAGTAGGGATAATGTTTCCATCTTATTTAAACTATCACCACTTTTATATATTCTTTCTTTTAGAACCTTTCACCATTCATTGAAAAGATACAATAACAACAAGTTCAACTCTGAATCTCTGTTTGAGAAAAAAAAAACAGAAAGGAGCAAGAAATTGTGGTATCTAGGATACTTGGAACCTATATAATAGATACAGAAGAATAGTATTCTAAGACAAGAAGAATTATCACTAAAAGTATTTTGGAAATCTGAATACATCTGGCAAGGGAAGATGCCAAGTATTAAATTTAAACTTTTGCAAGATGTAAAAGAAAGAGGAGGATTTTATGTGCCAGAGTGGGAGTTATATCACCAAGCAACAACGCTCACCTGGGTAAAAGAATGGATAGAGTTAAAAAATAAAAGATTGTTAACATTAGAGGGCTATGATTTACATCTAGGATGGCACGTATTTCTGTGGTAGGGGAAACAATTAGCACATCAATACTTTCAAAGACATTTTATAAGATAGGTGTTATTGGAGATATTGAATAAATTTAAGCAGCAAAATTATAGCAAGGTTCCAATTTGGTTATCCACATTAGAAGCGTTAGTGCACCCAACTTTTATCAATCAGGGAAAACAGATTATATAATGAACAAAGAAGGGAGATTGAAATTGAGGCAAGAACTAAAAGAACAAGGGGTAGAATTGGAATGGTGGTCCTATTTACAAATCCAATCACACTACTTGAAAGATATGAAAGAGTGGGGCATGAATAGGGAGTTAATGACAATAGATAAGATCTTTTTAGGGACAAATGATAAATCGATAAAGAAGATTTATAATTTTTTATTGGATTATAAAATGGAAGAAGAGCAGGTTAAGGAAACAATATAATATTGGATATAATATACCAATAATATAACTGGAAAAATGGCAAGAATTATGGTTAAGAAATAGAAAAATAATATTGGCAATACCATATAAAGAAAATTTATATAAAATGTTTTATAGGTGGCACCTTCCATCAATGAGAGTAGCAAAAATGTTTAGAAATTTATCACCAAATTGTTGGAAATGCGATAATGAATCAGGCACGTACTACCATTTGGTGGCAGTTGTGTAAAAAAGCAAAAGAATATTAGCGGAAAATTCAAATGTGGTTGGCAGAGTTAACCGAAGAGGAAATGGAATTTAAATCAGAACTATTCCTTTTGCGAATTATAAATGACAAATATAACAAGGGGGTAACCTATTTAATGATACATATTATAATGGCAGCAACAATGGTCTTTTCCCAAAACTGGAAAAACAAAGAAATTCCACAAGAAGAGGAAGTGATTAGGAAAATTCTGACATGCACTGAAATGGATAGATTAAGGCATCCCGATTTCAGCGGGACAGTCACGCTTTGTAACAATTTGTCCCGTGTCCCAGGCCGTTTTAAAGTCCTGATTTTCTGGCTTCATGTTGAAAGCCCAGTGGATTTGCTTAAGAAATCCTAACCGGGGCAAGACAAAAGACACCCTGTCTAACCTCTCTCTCTATCCTTCCATCCTTCCGAGGTGGGTAAAATGAGGACCCAGATTGTTGGGGGCAATAAGCTGACTCTGTAAACCGCTTAGAGAGGGCTGGAAAGTACTGTTAAGTGGTTTATAAGTCTAAGTGTTATTGCTACATAGATGTAAGATTTCACTTTTGAAATTATGTCACTTTTTTGCATTTAAATTTAGAATCATTAATCATCAAATTAGATTTCCTTTAAAAGATAGTGTCAACCATTTGAGGTAGGCTGGGCCAGGAAACAGTAGAACATCTACTTTATTAATTTAGGCTATAAGAATAGAGTTTCTCCTTCTGCTCCTCTTAAACACAGGAAAGCCAAGTCAGGGCAGTGTGGACTTTCTCCATTTCTTCCTGTCTCTCTGAGTGAAATGATGTTTTTGTAAGGGCTGTCTCATATATCATAGATATTCCTGTACAGATAAAAGTAGGAAGCAATATGCTATGCCAAGGCAGCAGACAGAACCACAGTACAAAGGGCTTCTGGAAAAGGGCTCCATTGTTTGACTATAAGTCCATAATCCAAACTATAATAGATTCTTAGTAATACTAACAGTCAAATTTTCACAATAGACAGATGGATAGAAATAGCTTAACCTCATTCAATAAATTCAATGATTCAATTAAATATGTAAAGAAACTCACCACTTAACAGTTGTTTGCTTACTGACTATTCAAAGTTACAACAGACTCTTCCAAAAGCTAATCACAACTTGATTCCGCAGTTCCAATAGTATTTTCAATGCTTGGCAACTTCATTTTTATGGTTCATTTTTATGGTTCATTTTTATGGTTGGTTGCAGCATTCTACAGTCACATAGCAATGTTTTTTGCTGGCCTTTTTTGGCTTATTTGTGGCAAAAAGTGCTGATAAGAATGACTCATTCAATGACTGCCATAAAAAGAGTTATAAAATAAAGGCAGGCCCATGGGTGCTTTGATTTATGACCATCATGACTTAAGGATGAAAATTCTGGCCTAATATGGTAGTAAGTCAGGAACTTGATAAAAGTCCGCTTTTAAAATACCAATGTGATTTTGCTCATTTACTTACAACTTATTTTAATGAGAATTCTTCTATTTCAGGACCAAAAGTTTTCGTGGGAAAAAAGTCCATGGAGAATATGACATCAAAGTCGAGCAGGTATTAAAAAAAGATTACTGTCTTATTACTCATACAATTTTTCTTAGCGTTAAGTATTATTTCAGAGTATTAAGAATGGAATAAGTTGGCACCTTATAAAACTATTTTTGACCCAGTGTAAATAATGAAATTATATAATACAGTGAATAAAATATGAATTTATTGAGGCAGTAATAAAATGTTTTTAAGAACACTTGACAAGGATTTTCTTTAACATAATTGTTTTAAACAATAGCTTTAAGTCTGTTTTCTGGTCATTTGTAAATGCAATATTATATTCTTCTATTAAAGATATTGGCGTTTATTAAGGCAGTGAAACTTTTAATAAATTCATATGCCTTACTGTCACTTCTAATATAGATATTTCAGAAAATATTCATAAACTTGATGGGATTTTTTTTTACTTTTCAAGAAAATGGTTTTTCTCAAACATAATTGCATTATAGGCCACATATGGACAAAACTGTTGGGGTGTAAGTGATGTAATGGATCTTAGAAATGAACATTATTAGTTGGCCAGTGACTTTTTATCACTTTTGCTCACTCTTCCTATGAGATCAAATGCAAGTTGCTCCTTTCTTGTTTTCATATAATTTGTTCAGGTAGATTTACTTGTAGGAGAAGAGAAAGAAAGATACATTTTTAATTCTTTTTTAAATCTTGCTCTTTCTTTACTTCCACAATTTGTTTTTCATGTAAATAGGATCAAAACCATATTTCTGTTCCAACATCTAACAGCTTTTAATGCAGCAGATAAAATTGTAGTCAACCACTCCCAAATATTAGAAGAGCAACATAATATTTTTTTATTGTGCCTATAATTACCTTTTTTCATTTGATTATTTTTGTTGCACAAATACATTTTAATTAAAAGAATATGCCTACTTATGCCTATTTACTTAGGGGTTTAATATAATCATCATATTTGCTTGGGGGGGGAATGAAGATAATTGTAATGACATGGTATATTGCTTTCAGTTTTTGCTGATTTAATTAATATTGATTTGCAAGAGAAATGAATGGAATAGATGGTTTAAGAGGTGTAAAAAAGAAATATAAGATAGGGGAATGAATGAATCCAAGAATGGATTCATGGAGAGAAGAGCTAAAGCTGAAGATCAGGGACTATCATGCTGGCTGAATGCTCACAAAACTAGCAGATTGCTGGGGAAACAGTGAATGTGGAAACCTCCAAATGTAGGAACAACAAAAGGAATAACTGGAACTACCATATACCAGTTAACCAGTGAACCAGTGCCAGGACCCTTAGGAAAAACCCTTGGCGTTCAGAGGTGGGTTGCTCCAAGTTTGGCTCGGTTCGGCCAAACCTATAGTGGAATTCAGGCCTGGGTCACAGAACCGGCAGCAACCCAGGTCTGCCATGCCCTTGAACCAGTTCCCTCACCACTGCTGGGCTGCTGCCATTTTGGTTTTTAGTCACTGTAAATTTACATTAACCAATGCACACACGCGCAATATGCATCTACCATTCATGCAGGGGTTGCAAACCAGTAGTAAAACTGACAGCAATCTACCCCTGTTGGAATTCCTGACATCTGTAACTTCTGTGGCCAGGCATATTTATGGAAGCTGTTGCTAGGCTGGCAGCTACAGAGAGAGGAAACAAGAACGTAGTTTCCATTATTGGCACTTCCTCTATGTAAACAAACACAATCCTTAGGATTAGCTGTTGTGAAGCCAGTCAAATCATGCATGGAATCTTCTACCAGGAATGGGTGGAAATGTTCTACTGAAGATAGATGAGTGTAAAAATATTTCTTTAAGAGTGCCTCTTTTAAAAGGGACATAGAAAATTTCCACCTATTCCTGGTAGAAGATTCCATGCAAATTATGAGGAATGTGGATGAACTTTTGGAAGGTAGTTTTAGAGCTATAAATAAAAATTGTGTGCCACTGCCAAACAATTAGGGAAATATGTTGGAAGGGTAGGTTCATTAGAGTCATGCAGCTTCCAGAATGAATGAATGAATGAATGAATGAATGAATGAATGAATGAATGAGCAAACGAACAAATGAATGAATTCCTTCATTCATTCTTTTCTGGGTGAGAGTTGGAGTTTGGCTGCAGAATTATTCTCCCTGGACCAAAAGGATTGAAACAAGGAAGTTGCAGGGTGAAAAATGGGCAAGGGAAAGGATAGCTTCAGGGTGTACCTTTGCCAGCATGGGACAAGTGACATTAAACAGATCATTATAGACAATGGATGGAAGGATGGGGCCCAACTGCTTTGGGGCATTTCAGGCTCTAATTGCTCCTTTTGAATAGCAGTTCTGCCTGTAGCAAATCTGCTTCTCATCCACAACTTGATCATGAACGTATGGGTAGATCTACCAAGAGATTTGACTTTTTAAAAGTTAGTTAAAGTTTAAAGTTAGTGATGATAGTAATTTTACAATACATTTTATGACACCTTTGTTCATAATATAAACATGTAAAATTTTCTTTTGTACATGACAACATCCCATAAATATTTATTACTTATTGAAGACATTTCCACTTATACATTCCTTCTACTTTTCATATGAAAAAAACAGGTCCAGCATTATTCTGTTCTCTAAATCTGTAACAATGCCTGTAAGAAAACATGCATAAAATAATACTTTAGAACTTTGCTAGATGCTATTTCCTTGTTCAAATTTCATATGTTCAAAGATGTTACATGTAGACTAGCACCTTAAAACTAGTTGGTTCATTTATGTATTTTTTAATCTTTCAGGCACAATTTTCAGAGGTCAGTTTGATAGCTCAGGCTGATGGGAATTATTCTGTAAATGTGCAAGCTTTTCGAAATGGCATTAAAGTTGTCAAGTAAGTTATTTTACTTCTTTTGACTTTCAGAATTAAGGTTAACATAAATAAATACAAAACATGATCATGAATAACATTTTTTAATAGAAATAGAATCTGTTGAGGGTTTGTCCATGTTTTAAAGCCAAGGTACATCCAGGTCCATGGATGATGTAATTAAGGTGTTTATTCATCTTCTTGATAAATTCATAAGTAGAAAACAGCCAAAATATCCAAATAGCATCTCACTTTGTTCTAATTCATGTGAGATTTAGGCTAACAGGTTTATCTACTGGACAGTATATGATTATCAAGAACTGGCATAGCTTGATGGCACCAAACCAATCTGTTATGTTAACTAGGAGTTTTTGTCCACGTCTTTTTCAAGAAAACTATGCTATTTTGTGCTGCTAAATTTCTCTTCCTCAGTTTCATGTATGCAAGTATGATTTAAAAAATAGAAAAACATCTTTCAATATTCCTGATTACAAACTTGCAAAATCTTAGAATGCGTATAATTGCTCTAGAGAGACTCTGAATGAAACAGTTAAAGAGTTATTGGTTTTTCTCTTTGGTGAGCACTAATAGGTCATTGAAGGCCTATTTGAACAGAAGTAGATGTTATATGTGAAACAAGGAGTGATAAAGCAGAAGTTCTAAATTAGTATCCAGTGTTAAATTTTTTCCAGATCTCACAGATAGCAACAAATTGAATGTTAATATTTTTTCATCCTAGGAAAGAAAATTAGGGAAGAGAATAAGCTTTACAACAAACAGACCTTTAAATTATGACTTTAACATCACTCTTTATCATTTTCATTTTACCCTCAGCTCAGGATAAAATTTATCAGTTACTGGTTTTGGTCATGTCCCTTCAGAAGTGTCAGCATACACTAGTATATCAAAACAAACATTCTGGCTTAGATAACAGGAGCCTCACCCTCTAACCACCTATAAAATGGTAGCCTTCAAAAGAAATTGCCTGAATTCCTTTTTTTTTCAACCACCTTCTAACATTTTTTTTTCATGACTGCTAGTTAGTGAACCTTCTTTCTTTACCAACACAACCAATAACTACAAATGAAGTTAAATAATTGTATACTTTCTCCCAGCCTTTATTCTTTTATTTGAGAGGAATTTTTCATTGTACTGATGAAAAATTATCACCTCAGCAAAATAAAAACATATAAAAAGACACTATTCACCACAAGAGAAATTGTAAGAGTGCCCTATTTGTAACCCCCATAGCTCTAGTAAATTTCTAATATATTTGTTTGCTTGCTATTAAACTCAATTCTCTTTAGGTCATTCAAGCCTGACTTTGTTCTTGTCCGGCAACATTCGTTCAGCATGGCCGAAAATGAAGATTTTCGTAACTTAATTATTGGAATGCATTATGCAAGCATCCCAAGTGTTAACTCTCTAGAGTCAATCTTCAACTTCTGTGACAAGCCCTGGGTAGTAAGTAACAAATCATAATTCAATAATCATACATTTCATTGTATAATTGAAGAATAACACATTTGAATGTCAAATTGGGAGAAGGAAAGCAAAATGAGTACTATTTAGTCCAACGTTTGCCCCTGTGCACATGCAAATGTTTATTAAAAGATTTACATTTGGATTGCATCTCAAAGTCTTATAGATATATTATATATCTTATATAGATATATTCCTTGATGCTTTTTAATTACTATGCATGTTTAATGCTTAATATCTTAACGATTAATATTCATAATCTTTGCTTCATTTTCTTGCAGCTTTTTTTTACTACCAAGTTTCTCAAAAATTTGCAGATAAAAGAACTGTAATCGGTCTTGTACAAAATTAGTGAAGTAGCTATTATTAATGAAAAGTGCCTGTTCAGAGAACATGATGAAATAATAAACAGTGGGTAAGGGAGCTGAACAAACGTACCTTAAAAAGGGTACTACAGCTTAGCTAGATTGCACCTCCCAGGTTTCAATTTTTTTATTTTTCTGGATGATAATACTATAAACACAAATAGGAGAATCTGTATGAAAAACTGTATGTACAGTAAGTGTGACTAATCTCTCCATTGCTTCTCCTTGCAGTCTCTCTTTGTTCCAATGCAAATAAAATCACTTCTGCATGTAGAAAGTTAATGTGAGGTTATAATTTTTTTCCTGCTGGCATTCAAGACAAAACCTGCCAGTTCTCTACCTTAAGAGGTTTAATGTGTTATTCTTGCTATTGTTAAAAAGGCTGCAGGCATTTGCAATAACTGAACATTTTATCTTTTAAAATCAAAATACTTTTATCTTTTACCCAATCCTTTGCATAAAGAACCAGTTTTCCATATTTTTAGAGTAAAAAACCCTACAGTTCTAAAATACTCTAACATGACATGATTAAAATTATGATTTTAAAAATGTAAAATTAGCAAGAGATACAATCCTTGTTAAGCCTAAATGGCAGTTACATCTAAATGTTCATTCTATCCCCATTTTTTTTATTTCACTGCTGGATAGTTTTCTCATAGCATTCACCCAAAAAGTCTATTAAGCAAGTTCATTACAGATACCAGAGTTTGGGACCGTTTAAGGATTTTCTCCAATTGCTCTCAGCCTAGAAGTATTACTTAGGGCAAGAGCCAAAGTTGAGAAAAATTCCTATGTTCCCAGTTTGACCCAGAATGGCTTCTTATCCGAGCCTTGTTCTGTGCTGCCCCAAATATTTCAGAAACCTTTATCCAGTGCAATGCATGTCTACTGCACTTTAACAACTGCAACCCACCCCCCTGATTTAGCCAAAAGCCCTATTACTACCATGTTTCCCCAAAAATAAGACAGGGTCTTATTTTCTTTTGATCCCCAAAATAAGCACTTGGCCTTATTTTTGGGGAGGTCTTATTATTTTTGAGGTGCAGGAGGCAGCAAGCATGGTCACCTCAGGGCTACTGCTGTGTTGCAAAATTTTCGGGGAGGGCTTATTTTAGCACATGCGCTCAAAAGCTTATTATGTGGGGAGGTCTTATTTTCAAGTAAACAGAGTAACCAGTACCAGAAGGCCAGTAGAAACAAAAGTTAGACACTGCATCATGAAAAATATATTGTTGAGATGCCCATGGTTTGTCTGGCTACATATTATCTCTTTCTTTGGGACAAAACCTTGTCTTTATTTATATATGAACAGAATGTGGCAATGGGTACTAATCTGACATTGTGGTTTCTGTGGCCTGTGATTATTTACTTTCCAGTGACAAGAGAGAGATTATTAAAACGTATCAAAATGTTTATACAGCCAGACAGTCTAGAGATTACGCCTGGAGTTTTCTCTTGTTCATCCCATGACGCTGTTATCTGTATTTATATCTATATCTAATTATATTAAACAATTTTTTTATAAAGTTAAAGAAGAAAAGTAGAAAAGAAAGCAAGATAAATAAATATTATTTAATAAATAAAACACACTTCTCTTTCTCAGTCTCTCTTTCTCCCTTCTTTTTGAAGAGCAGAGTACATGAGATTGTCAATAAAGAAATTAATTTATTTTCATTAACATTGCAAAACCAATTCCTAAATTTGCTTCAATAATCTGATGGTTCCCAATGGAACAAAGATACTGGAAGTAATTAGCTCTTTCCAAATGCAAATACCAGATGCTGCAAAGAGTTAAATCTCCCCAGCCCTATACTAATCTGATAAACTAGGTAATGGGCTGAGACAAAGACCAGGAAAATCCAATGCCCAAGCATGAATAGGAAAATTGCTCTTCCAGGTGTGGTTTTAAAAAAACAACTCCATTTTGTCCTTTTGGCCTCTTTTCCCTTGAGGGGATCTGTTGCTTCTCCCCCACCACATGCTTGCAATTTACCTTTTAAAAGTGTTTCGTTCTTTTAAATGAATGATACCTTGTCTCATTTGACCATAAATGTATAATTAGAACTTATTGCAACCTCTGTGCTATACATTTGCTGTAGCTATGTAAACTTGGGAGGAAATACTGTGACTATATATATATCTCATTCAGCTTTTAGCAGGGGGGGGGGGCTTCAAAAATTATTAGCAAGGAGTTCTCTGCCCAGTTGCTGGGTGGGCGTAGACATGGTGGACATGGCCTAGTTGGCCTTCTGCACCATAGCGGGGGGTGATTTTGCTCTCCTCGGGCTCTGGAGGCATTCCTCAAGCCTCCAGGAGGACGAAAATGACCTCCCCAGGCTCCAGACCCCCCAGGCTCCAGAGATCCTCTGGAGGCCGGAAATAGGCCTGTTTTTGGCCTTCCCGAACTTCCAGTAGGCCCATTTTTCATCCTCCCTGAGCCTCCACATGCATTCTGCACTTACCTGCATCCAAAACAATCCACGTGGGGACTTCTGGGAGGGGAGAGGCAGGGCCAGCCAGGAGTAGTATTTGGGGTTTTTCCAAATTGCACAGAATCTTAGGTAGAGGTTCTCCCCAACCACTGTGAACCCCCAGCAGCCCACCCATGGTTATTAGTAGTAACTAATAAGAAGTCTATTGCAGTTACAAGATTGAATAAAAAGAAGGAAGTATGGAATAAATGAACTCATCTTAAATATGGCATGAGAGTTGGCACTAAACCTTAATGATAACTCTATTAAGAAACAATTTATATAAACTGTTTAGTACCAAGCAGAGAGGCACTGAAATCTATTTATTTCTAAATATGCCTGCTTAGCAATACATTGTAGATGAGCTGTATTCAAGTATTGCCATAGAGGAATATCCAGATAATATTTATAAATAGGTTTATTGATGTAAAGCTGTTTGTGTACCTTTTTCCTTTCTTTTCCCTTAGATAATAATCTGGCAAGCACTAAGGCATTTTGGAATTTAGATCTTGATATTTTGATTGATAATGATTAGATGATTGCAGAGGAGTGCTAAGATAATTTTTATACTGTCTTTGGAATTTAATGTTTTGGGGTTTGTTTGTTTGTTTGTAGTTTGCCCAATTGGTGTCCATCTATAGATCCTTGGGAGCAGAGAAATTTCCTCTGATTGAGCAAACCTTTTATCCAAATCACAAGGAAATGGTAAGAGCAAACAATAAACATAAATTTCTATTCCTTTTGCATAGCAATGCATTGTAGATGAGACCGCTATAATAATCCATGGGTCCATTTTATCTGTGTACCATCCTCTTGTTTTATCTGTAGTGTCACTGGTTTTATGAGGACAAAGATGTCTACTTATATAAAATATTTGACTCCCTCTACAATGGGGAAAACATTCCCGGTGTTTTTAAAGTTACAGAAATTGAAATGAGAGATATTCTTTTTTCTGAAATACATTCGTTTTAGGCTGCTCAGATTTATACTCAAATTGTAAATTTTCATGTTCATGCAAAGCTTTGGTTTTCCATATATCTAATCTGTCATCTAGTTGGTTTTCCTTATATTCTGCCTTTGTTTTTGTTGTTTTAATAATGTTCTCCATTTTCACAGTCTGCAGCAATTTTTCGGTACTTTGGTTCACTTAGTCCTTCAAACTTTGCTTTTCTTCTTCTACAGTTTGATGCCTTGCAATAGCCCTCTGCTACCTATTCTTCTTGGCAGGTATAACCTGTTGACATCACTTCGTGACTGTAAACCATGGTACATATTCAAAGGTTTACATGTTTTCCAGTCTAAATTTTACATTCCAATTGATGATTCCAGCTGGATAGCATATCACTGGAACTGCCCATGTATTAATGGCTTTAATTATGTTTCCAGCATTTGGTTTTGATTTTAGTATTTTGCGGACCCTCCTGATGTATTCCTTTTGCTCTTTCATTTTTCCATTCAAGCCTTATCTGCTTCCAATATGCCTATGCATTTGTAACCATCATCCTTTGCTAATGCTTTCACAATGCTTCCATTTCCCAGTTCTATTCCTTCTTTTTTTTTTCATTTTTCCTCACTGCATGGAAAATATAGCACATTTTTCAAGTCCAAAGTTCATTCTGATATGACTACTGAACAGTTGGACTGTGTTGAGTATTGATTCAAGTTCTGTGGGATTTTTTGCATACAGTTTTAAGTCATTCATGTATAGTAGATGGTTTATCTTGCCATTTTGGCTTGAGATTTAGTATCCCAGTTTTGTGTTTCATATGATATCATAGGATAATTGTCAGTTGAATTAATGCAATGTTGAACAGTAGTGGCAAAAGTGAGTCCCCTTGGAAGATTCCTCTTATGATGTTGATTTCACCTATGTTCTACCCATTTGCATTTTTGCATGTTTGATTTCAAAAATGTACAAATATTTTTGCTGATTCCAAGTTTTCCAGACAGGCGTTAACCCAGCTCTGGGGTAGAGAGTCAAATGCCTTCTTCTAATTGATCCATGCCACATTCAAATCCATTTTTCTTCAACTTGCATTTTTAGTAACATGTTGTCAATGAGCAGCTGACTTTTTGTTCCTCTCTATTTTTTATAATTTTCTTTTTGTTCTACTAGATACGAGCTGTTTTCTATCAGATCATTGAATACTGAATTTGCCAGTATTCTTGTAAAAGGTTTGAACGTTGTTGGCAGACAAGTAATTGGGCAATAGTTGCTTGGTTCTGTGTCCTTTTTTGGATCTTTCATTGTCAAGTATGTTCGGATAGTTGTTAACCATTCTTCGCTTGTTGCATTTTGAAGCATTTCATCAAATTGAGTGGCCATGATGGAGACTGGTCAGGTGTTTTAGCCAGTATTCATGCAGTTCGTCCAGGCCAGGTGCACTCCAGTTCTTGACCTTCTTTGCTTGTTTTGCAACCATGTCTGTTATTATTACGCTATTTTCCATTTTCTTTCATGTTGTTTGTTGTTAAATATCTTTGATCCAGGAGGCAGTTTTGGTGTACTCCACTGGGTTTTCTCACAGTTCTTTCCAAAATTTCAAAGTTTTTTTTTTCATGGGTGAACATTAGTTTGGACTCAATTTTCATCAAGGGACTGTTAGAAGAGGTGTTGGTTTCTTGAAGATCTTATGGACATTTTCACAATATTGTTTTATTCGTCCTTTGTATCTTTCAATTTTCTTTGCTGTTGCTATTACACATTGTTCCATGATTTCCATTATTGTTTTTTTCCTTCAGGTTGTATTTTTTGTGTAAACTATTTTTCAGCTTTTTGTTCTTTAGTTTTTCTTCTTTCAAGTACTGTAAATTGCTGACACCCCCTCGTAGTTTTTTAATTTTATTTTCAAGTCGAATATTCCACTTTGGTGTTCCAGTGGGTTTCTTTTCTGGCATTTTATAACCCAATTCTGCAGTTATAATGGCAGCTGTGCTATACATTAGTTCCATGATGGAGAACCTATGGCATGTGTGCCCAAAGTGGCATGCGAAGCCATGTCACCCAGTTTGTTGGCCTTGCCTGTTTGTCTTCCAAGTTTCTGGTGCACATGAACGTGTGACAATCAGCTGTCCTTTGATGCGCAGCAGTGCCAAAAACCAACCTGCGTATGCACGCTGGCCAGCCCATTGTTGTGTGCGCATGTGGACCAGACCTGGAAGTTCTTCCGGTGTGATCCTTTTGCGGCGCAGCAGTGCTGAAAACCAGCCTGTGCATTGCGGGCTGTACAGCTGATCATCAGCTAGAACCTGGAGCGTGGCCGCGATGAGTGTACACAACATTTCCTTGTGACCTTTTTGACACTCAGTGCCAAAAAGATTCGCCATCACTGCATTAGTTGGTTGGTTTCATATAGTGTGCTGGATGGGATGGAAGTTAAAATGTTGTTCATGGCAGCTAACAGATTTTTCACTTGTTTGCTATGCACTGCCAAATGGTAGGTAGCCTTTTTCTTTCTATGTTTTCTTTGATGTGGTTTTCAATTTTTTTTCTTTCAGCATGTTTGCTAGATCACTTAGCTCTACACTTTCGAGTTGTTGCACAGGAGGATCTTCATCCTGTATGTTGGTTTCTTCCACTGGCTGGTCAGCTTGTTCCGGTGTTGGAACAGTTTCTTCAGCTTATTCATCATTACTTGTTGTTTTCTTTTTAGCCAATATTTCTAGATGTTGCATTTTCACATCTGTGAAAACTTTATTATGGATGATAAAACATATTTGATCCATTAGTCTTTGTTCAGTTATGTCACTTTCTGGGTGTTTTTCCTTCCATGGTTTCATCATTCTTTTTTGAAATCTCCTGGCTATTGGTTCTGCCTGGTAGTGTTATTTGATGGTTTCACAATTTTCTTCAGTTGTTCCAGTTTAGCACTTTTGTTCTAGTCGCTTTGCAGTTGCATGCCCTGGTTCCCTAGCAGTAACAACTGAGTCCTGTAGCCCCTTTTTTGACAGATGTCCAGGAGACATAGCTTGTTGACCTGGACAATGACAAACTCCGGTGTGGAATTTCGTTGGTTTCTTCTCATCATTAGTGATGGTAGATGCCTGGGTTGGTTCATGGTGACTAAGCCATTACTTATCAAAAGACAGTAATCCCATAACCGTAGGAATCCCATCGGATAGCTGTCCAGGCCCACCCATGGCAGCCTAACTTCTGTATATTTGTGACAAAGAGATTTGATACATGTGTATGCAAGCTTAAATCCTTGCCATTTAGCAATGATTTCTACTTGCAGTGATGCATGAATTAAAGATTACAATGGAAAAGATTATATCAAAAACAAATTATATCATAAGATTAACATTCTTTTAGGAGTACATTTTCAACATTAACAGTTAGGACATAAAGTTCTGACTAGAAACCATTACTAATAGCACATGAAATAAGATTCCATTTCTTCAAGGTATTTTAAAATATAGAATACTGTCAAAATTAGCTGGTATAGGAAATGTCTGGAAGCAGCATATATTGTCTTGTTCTGATCTTCATAAAAAATTGGTGTCTAATTGCATTAAACAACAACCTTTTAATTCAAACTTTAGTACTAATAAAGAAAATATTTGTAGTTCAGGATTGACTCCTCAACTTTATTATAATAGTGCCATTAGAAAGGTGGCTTTTGGTGTCCTCCCCTTTTTATTTAGGTTGTTTATTAATATTTTCTATACATATACAGCAGTGGTGGGTTTCAATTTTTTTTACTGCCAGTTCTGTGGGCATGGCTTGTTTGGTGGGCATGGCTTGTTGGTCATGTGGTGGTGGGCGTGGCTTGTTGGATATATGACTGGTTAGTCATGTGACTGGGTAGGCATGGCCAACTTCACATCACTCACGTCAAGGGTGCCTTGTATGGCCTCTCCTTGCCTCAAAGGCCTCAACAAGATACAATTTCTCTGAACATCCAAAATATATTATTTAATCCTATGTATATATACCATATGTGTACATACATTATATAGTATAGAATGTGTATAGGCACATCCATAGATACATTATCTACCATATATATTGTATGTGTATGTACACACACACACACACACACACACACACACACACACGGCCAGTTACAACATCCCACACAGTCATGTGACTGAGGTTTTCTGTTTTTTTTTCCAGTTTCCAACAATTCCTTCTGGTTAAAAATGGGGGAAATGGACTTGTTTAACAACCACAGTGTTCACTTAATGACCACAAGTTCACTCATCGACCACAAGGTTCACTTAAACAGGTCTCTCTCCCTCTCTCTTTCTCTCTCTCATTCTCTCTTTCTCCATCTCTCTCTGTTTCTCATTTCTCTCTTTCTCCCCCTCTCTCATTCTCTCTTTCTCCATCTGTCTCTCTCTGTTTCTTATTTCTCTCTCCCTCTCTCTTTCATGTGTGTGTATGCACAGGCGCAAGCCTGATAGAGGACATAGCCATCCACTTCCCTGGCACAGGAAGGGCTTTGAGACCACGTTGTGGCCCCGAGCACCAACATCACAACTGTCCCTTCCTCTCCCCCACTCTTGTTGCACTCACACTCTCTTCTTCTTCCACCCCACCCCCCCAAGGTTGCCATTTCCCTTGCCCTGGGGGCTTGAGACTTTCCCCTCTCCTCTTTCCTGAGATGCAGGCTTTAACAGAGGGGAAGTGAAAGCGACCAAACAGATCACATGCTCCCAGAGCAGCAGCTGCTTGCCTTGCCCTGATAGATCACCTTTTTTTCTCTCTTCACCTTGTTTTTTTTAACTTTAGAGGCAGCGTTTACAGGCATAGCCCACACTCACATATGGCGCCTTTCCCCCTATTATATCGTATTTTTTAATTATTTCCCTTAGAATACTTTAAAAAAGAAAATGACTATAGAAATAAGCAATCTTTTTTCATTCAGAGGTAGTGTTTTGGTTTAAAACAGTATTATTTTAATCATTTCAAATTTTGCAATGTATTAACAGGAGTTGAAATTACAATTTTAATAAACCTCACTTTTTAAAAAAGGATTCTTTCTTAGAAAACAGGGATGTTTCCATACAAATTTACTGAAATAACTGTTGAAAGCAAATACTGCCAGGAATGTCATTTTTATATTAATCTGGATGCCAATTCTATGTATTCTGTGTTTTAATTATACTGCACAATTTGCTTTTGATTCTAAGGAAGAGACAATTATTGGAAGTTCAAAAGATCATTAAGCAGGCAACATGGAATAAACATAACACCTCCTGTTTCTCCCAAAATTTATATTATTTATATTATTTATGGTTCACTGATATCAGCTAAGTATTTCACTAAGGAAGAGCATTGTGCCAACTGCAAGTTCCTTCACTGCCCTTGAAACAGGCAGAATTATCTGCTTGATGTCCACAGTTCTTCTTCTCTTTCAGCCAATCCGTCCATAGGCATTCATGGGGTTTTGTGGTGGAACAAGGTTCTGTACGGCAGTGAGTAATCTAGGAGCAGAAAATTACACGAGTATCCCATTATAAAATCATATTTTATAATGTATAAACACTTATTTATCATTTATCAGTGTAAAAATTCTGACAATTTGTAAATTGTTTCCAAAATCCACATATGCCTTGAAATGAGACAAGGATGGAACTTTGGGCAATTATAAATACACATATTCTAACATTATGAATTATTTCAACATAGAAATTTATATAAATACAAAATATTATTTCGATACTTTTTTCTGAACATACAGACTATATTTTGTACCAACATGACTTTTATGCATCTAAAAGACTGTTATGCATCACCTTGATATCTACAATGTATACATTAAGTGCAGAAAACCATCTTGGAATTATGCAGCATAGATATTTTGCTGTTAGTCTTTCATATCTTAATGTTAAGAGAAGTGATGGTCTTGATGATACAGTTTTAGAGTGCCAATAGAAGAGTGGTTTCTGAGCCTGGTTATTTTCCTGCAGACATTTAATTACCCAACTCAGACAGTGAACAACAGCCTAATCAAGGAACTATCAAGAAAGTAAAAAACGCTCTCACCAAAACTGATAGAGCAAGTCACTGTATTTAAACAGAGAACAGAGGGCACCCTGAAGAGATTTCTTAGTTCAATAATGAAACATCTGCAAAAAAAAATCAATCAAGCTCATAGACCCACTCTGTACTTCACAGGTACAGTTGTCTAGTGAAAGGATTGTTTAAAAAAAAATAACAGAAATAATTTGGTAGCATAAGGGCTAAATAAAATAAGGGTAAGATTACTTATTGTATGACTAGCATAAAAAATTATGTGCTTGTCATCTTAATAGATATTATTAATTACACTTTCTGTAAAAAATTAAATATATTCAGTGCTACAGGTTAAAGATGTATTTATCCATTCTGCATTGATTAGGGAAGTTTCAAGAGACATTGAATTCAAGCATACACAATTGGAGACATAGTTCATTAAATCTTACCACAGGTATATCTAGATCATAAAAATTAGGTTGGTGGTCAAGGAAGACAAGGATCTTAAAATATGTATTAATGACCACATGATCCAGTAAATCCATTTGAAAAGTTAAGTAGTAATATTAACAGTAATAAGTTTTCAACATGATAATTATAAGGTATTATTTTTATACACATAATTAGTATATCCTAACTGCTAAAGACCCATCAGAAAACAGCCCAACGAAAGAATCTCTGAGACCACTCCCACACACACAGACAAGCAAGACACCAGAATATGAACTGACAGCAAACAGAACTCCTTATTAGCACTGATGATGTTACCTAGTTAGGGTAATGAAACTTCTGCAAGAAAACAAGCAAGCTCGGAGAGCACCAAGGAACTCTCACTTACAACTAGTCATTTGCAAAATGTTTAGAGGTTAAAAAGTTTTGACTTCAGACTACCCTATTTTATCATTAGAACTTCTTTTCCTGGTAGTTTTGTAATTGGTACCTTCAAATAATATGCTCTCCCAACCTTTATTTTAAGGCAAAGTAACCTTTTGAATCACTTTTGCTAGATCTCTGCAGTTAGCAAAGTTTGCAGGGAGATCTTACATTGGTTTTCTAATAGTAAATAACTACTAAAGGGACATATGACACAGTTGAGAAAATTGTTCCAAAGCTCAGTGAAATAGGTATAGAAAACAGTTGCAGATATTACAACATAGCTAGAAGGACTACCAACCCAAGACAGATTGCTTTAGTATTTGGATGTACCATTTAGATAAGGTAGGTTAAAGCTTATGCATTTTAACAAATCTGCTTTATTCTATTTACATTCCTTACATATACGTACATGCATACATACATGCATACATACATGCATACATACATACATACATACATACATACATACATTTACATTATAGGTATATTATTATATTTATTGCTTATATATGTGTTGCTGCACAACTGATATAATAATAGTAGATTATATTCCAATCTAATTGTTATACTTACTGTACAGTCACAGCCCTTTTGATAGTTGTTTTTTAGATTTATCTTTTGAGAATCGGTAACTTCATGCCATTTTTTAATAAAATCGCATAAATAAAGTATAAGCATTCCATTATTTGACAAATTACCTGAAGTAAAGAAAATATTGAAATGAGGGACTCATGGCCTCATGGCCAAAGACATAATCCACAGGCACTAAATCAATCACATTGTCTAGTAGAATATATAACCTGTTATAGGTTCAGAAAAAATTATGATGATTTAAATTTATGTATCACCAACACCTACAAACCTTGTCCAGTTTTCTCTCTCCCCCTCCTTTATTTTTAAATTATTGGAGGGGAAGGGAAATAAAAAGTATTGTTTTATTTTAATTTATTCAAGGAGGTGGGTCCACATATCTTGTAATAGGAGTGATGCTCATTTGCTCTTATAATTTACTTCTACATGCTACATACAGAGAGAGGAAGGGAGGGAGGTGGGAGAGGAAGAGAGAGTGAATAATTATTTTCTAGAAATGTTTACATTTTTTAACAGAAATGTCACTAATAGCTATAAGGCTCAAATGTTGATATTGTCTGACTTTGACAATTGACTTTAATATACTATACCTGAAATAAGATACTGTTTCTGCTTCATTCCGACTTCTAAATCTACCCCGCAGGCTGCTGATGAAATAGCTGTAAAAACATACTTGACCTCTTTCACCATTTCAAAACCTTTAAACATCTATTAGGAAAAAGAAAATTCTAAATAAGCCTGCATGAAACGGTTCAACATTATGCTGTGGAATATTAACATTTGCACTACTTAGCTTCCCACCTTCTCTATTGCGCTTGGTGTATCTCTGTACAAGAGAGCATGGGGAAAGTGGCTTGTTTGATTGTTGTTGCCAGGGGGTGGGGTTATTGTTTTTACTCTTTATATAGTGGTTTTTTTTAGTTTTTATAAGCAACAAATACTGTGAACACCCATGAATGAATTAGATTATCACATTAATTATAATACCATGGACAGCCAAAAAAATAGAAAATGGATAATTGAACAAGCCTCTGCAAGATCTCAATCAAAGCACAAATAATGAAGCTGAAGTTACCCTACTATGGACACATTATGTGAAAATCCGGTCCCCTGAATAAGGCTCTATTGCTGGGAAAGATGGAAGGAAAGACAAGGGGATGATCAATAGAAAAGTAGAGAAATTTTTTAAAATAAATAATAGTCAATGTCTTGATTTAAAGTTATTTATCATTCAAAATAGTACTTCCTAACCTGGCATGGTAAATCATAATACTAAATGTTTTCTCACTAGAATCTTGCTGATAGGATTCTTTTAAAATATGAATATATGACTTTCATGTTTATTTCTAAAGTTAAAATCTAAAGTGGGTAGGCATGTTCCAGATCCATTAAACCCTGCCATCTTGTGGGTCCTTGGAAATATACATTTTCCATTATACTCCCTGCCCTATGTAACGCCTTCTCCCTAGAGATCCAAGAGGCCCCTATCATTTTATCCTTTCAGAGGGCATTCAAAACGTTGCTCTTCCCCCAAGCTCCAAGCTAAGGCAAGGTGAAGCTAAGATGAGAGTTGGCCTCAATATCATTGTGGCTCCAGGTTTTCCTGCTTTTTAGTTTTATCATAGTTGGTTTATGATTCTATAACTCTTTCATTGGTTGTAAGCTACCCAGAATTGGTTTTAATAAGGGCAGTTACGCAAATGTTATAAATAAATATATAAATAAAATTGTATGGAAAAACATCAAACAAAAATGTTTTTTTTTAAAACACAGGGACAAAATCCTTTCTGAAGAGAAGTCAGCACTTTGAACTGGGATCAGAAATGAAAGGGCAGGTATTTTAAATCAAAACAGATTAGTACATACAAATCCATTTTAGAAAGCTGCTGTTTTCTATAGTACATTAGGTACCTTCATTATATTTATTTAATCTGGAAATAGCAACCCATGAATAGAGTTGGCTTTGTTTTCATCTTCCAGAGGCAAACATAGGCCTCATTCTTCCAAACTAGGGGGTAGGGTGGAGTATGAACTCCAGCTACTATCACTTAGGAATACAACTTGGGTAGCCTTGTTGGAGAAAATAATCCTTCCAGTAAGGGGAAACTATACAAGCAGGAATAACCAGTTTGGCTTTTTGATTGTTGCAAATCAGAACTGCACTTGGAGTAAGAAAAAAAAAGGTCACTAAGGGTGGCAGTAAACAGTGATATAAACAGAAGAAAATGTGAGGTGTTATTCCTGTTTCTTTGAAAGGAAAAAATGTCATTTAAGAATGTATTCATGCCATTAGGAGAAGATGGCCTCTAGTGTAAAAATTTAGTATATTTGTTGATGTAATAATCTCTTAGTTCCTACTTGAAATAACACTGACAATTATTTAATTTATTTTAAGATTTCTAGAATGTTGAGAAAGATTGTGCCTTATATAACTTCCTCTTTACAAAAAAACCTACTCACTATACTATACCCAATTCCAAGAAAGCAGTCAAAAAAAATTAACAGCCAATATAGTCAAGACTCGGAGAATCAACAGTAGTTACTAAATGTGAAAGAAACAGGATCCTTTCTTTAGCAAACGTACAGAACAGATAGCAATAGTGATAGCACTTTATTGTGCTTTATTGTGCTCTCTAAGCAGTTTACAGAGTCAGCATATTGCCTTCATCAATCTAGGCCCCCGTTTTACCAACCTTGGAACAATGGAAGGCTAAATCAACCCTGAGCCGGTGAGAATTGAACTACTGGCAGTTGGCAGAAATAACTTGCAATACTGCATTCTAACCACTGTGCCACTACAGCTGTTGATGATGTCATATCTTACCAATGTGTTTTAAGGTTATTAATATATTTTAATTACCTTACAGATCATCCTGGTAGAAAATCTGGCAATATGACATGAAATTAAAGTTGATATTATGTTCAGAAAAGAATTATTACTTTTTTATCTCTTAACTTTATTGTTAGATATTATATCTCTTAAAGTATACTATGCTTTTGTTCCTCTTGTCTCTTAAGGATTCTTCATATTTCTGTAATGCTGCTATTTTTCCATACAACACAAAATCTGTTCATAATAAAATGGAATCTTATTTGAAAATGTTTGGAATAATGTTTGGAATTATCCAAGTTTTGTTTCTGACACACATATTTGTAATTACGTTTACATTGTTTTCAAATTCACCGTTATTTATCCTGACTATGAATGAGATGCTATTTTTCTCCCTTAGCTACTATGTAACTAAAGGTTTGACTCAGAAATGGGTTACAGTTGAAGAGGAAACTGAGTTTCCCACTGATTAATTAACAGTCTTGTTGGATCTCTCTTGGCTTTTGCTAGAGTTAAACATCTTTTGCACATGGGTAACATTTGTTTGCAGCTGCACAGGACCGTTTTGTTCCAATAATTTCTAAAGGTCAGTCTGTACAGGAGAATCTAATTCCCAATCCTTGATCTGCCAGCATTATTGCAGAGTTGCAGGTTAGCGTAAAGGATGAAAGTATAAATCATGTAAGAGGATAGCCACTATAGTGAGCAGATGAGATGCTTTCAAAGTCTTTGTTGTTTTGGGTCTTTGGAAAGAGATGTAATTTTTAATGAAAAGCTAAAGAGAATGGGGAGAGCCATTATTGCCATTATTAGCTAATAAGTGAGGCAATTCTGCTCACAGACCAGGAAACACCTTTCAATGGTGGCCATTGAGAGCTGCAGATGTGGATTACAAGAACACCAATACTATTTAATTAAATAGTAAAATAGTGAGAAGAGCCTGTTTACTTCCTGCTTTGTTTCAGTTCTGAAATGGAAGACTTGCATGAGCACTATCTATCTTACAAGTGTCTTTACTTCCTATTGAAGCATTGGTTGTAATGTCAATAGAATGGAACAAAACAAATTTTAGTCTCCTAAATGGATGTCTTTTTTCCTGCCATTTAAACCTCAGAAGAGACAAAAAGTTTTAGATACCTTTGTTTGCTTGATTTCATACTGGATCATTTCTTCAGAAGAAGGTGAATCTTTAACCACTGTTTTACTCAGTATGTTTGCAAGAATCACTGAAATAAAATGAAACATTATTGGAAAATATTGGGTGGGAAAAAAAACTGTCTTTCCCCCTAAACATCAGTAATGTGAAAGCAATTATTTATTTTATTTAAATGATTTACATCCTGTCTTTCAGGATACAAATTTTACCAAATTAGCTTACGTGCTATGGTAATAAACAGACACAAATCAAGAATAGTTTTCAAAAACTAAAAAGAACTTTGTTCCTTGTCACAGCATTGACATTGGTAGCATTGGCTCTCTGAAAAAGGGGAGGAAAGAAATGCTATAGCACAGAGGTTTCCAACCTTGGCAACTTTAGGAATTGTTGGCTGAAGAATTCTGGGAGTTGAAGTCCACAACTCTTAAAGTTTCCAATATTGAAAAACACAGTACCAACTATCCTCAAAGATAAATTAAGAAAAATGATATAATATGCAGGTACAAGGAGTCCTTGACTTATGAACACAATTGTGACCAGACTTTTTGTGGCTAAGGAAGGTAGTTGTCAAGTGAGTCATGCCTGATTTCCTGAACTGTATCTGTCATGTTTGTTAAATGAATCACACAGTTGTTAACGGAGTCCAGCTTCTCCCATTGATTTTGCTTGTCAGAAGCCAAGCCAAATTACAAGTGGCAATCACAAGTGGGAAAATTACAAGTGGCAATCACCTGACCCCAACATGCTGCAACCATCATAAATACATGCTAGTTTCCAAGCTCCTGAATTTTTATCACTTTTGACCATTACTAGCTGCAGTGCTAGTATGTGCAAGAACTGGTCATAATATTGAAACATTCCCTTTTGAAATATTTTGAGTTTGAGATTTTGGCACAACCATGAGAGAGATGATTCACTGTAAATTAGAGGATCAAGCATATTTATTCTTGGATCAAAAGTTTTATGATACAGGAAGTTGTAACTTTGAATGTTCACTAAAGAAATGGTTGTAAATTGAGGGCTACCTGTAAGCATTACCTGCAGTAATAACCATTTAACTTTCCTTAATGTCAGCTTTTGAAACATAAATGTGCATTCTTTCACAAATGCTATATTCCTAGTTATAGTTATATTAGTCATACAAGTAGTCCTTGACTTACAATGATTCATTTAGTGACTGTTCAAACTTATAACAGCACTGCAAAAAGTGATTTATGACCATTTTTCACACTTACAGCATCCCCATGGTCATGTGATCAAAATTCAGCCACTTGGCAACTGGCAACTGGCTCATATTTATGATAGTTACAGTGTCCTGGGGCCATGTGATCCCTTTTTTGTGACCTTCTGACAAGCAAAGCCAATGGGGAAACCAGATTCACTAATTCAACAACTGTAGAAAGAAAGGTTGTAAAATGGGGCAAAACTCACTTAACATGTTTCAACATAAATTTTGGGCTCAATCACAGTCGTAAATTGTGGGTTACCTGTGCCATATCATACCACACTGGATTGGATTGGATTGGATTG